CACGTGAATAGGAGGTGCAACATAAGAGTGACAGGTGACGTGAAAAAAGAACACTACTAAATCTCACCTTCAACAGGGGGTGCTGGCTATCCAGAACAATCGGAAGGGTTCGTGTTTGCTCCGGAGTCGGAGTATGCACAGCATAGGCTGGAGGTAATGGGAAAGAGATTGGCTGAAAAACATACTAATGGTTAAAATCTTCTTATTTGGAAAACAATGTGATTTATCGTTGTCCAGTGAAAAGCCATTCAATGACGAATGTTAAGAGAACAAACAGAGCAGGGCAACCGCTTGTAATGCTCTACACACTTTACCTCTACCTGGCAGGAGTCAAGTTTACCACCTCTCCGTATATCTTTGCTCGAGCATCTCAAAATGAGATCTCAACAAGTTTATTTTCTCATAACATGCCTCGTAAGGAACGATCTATCGCACCTGCCAGCTCTACAACAACAACACCAGCTCGCTTCTGGTAACTTATACAGTTCTGCAGAGAATAAATTTTCAAAATGGGTCCCGGTAGCAAAACGACTGTTCAATCCTTTTGCCTTCCAATCCTCTCTGGGTTCTCTCAATTCGTACACCTCCTCAGAGAAGTAACAGGTGGAGTCAATTAAATCCCATTTATCCAACCCTTAGTTGCGCATTCCCAGAAATTGCAGATTTCCAGCTTTTCCAAAGCATAAGCGCGGCTTCATGTACCTAGTATGCCTAAACACTTCACATCTCACATATGATTTATTTTAGTCCCTATAAGATACCCAGCATAAAACACGGTTCGAAAGAAAACCTGGTGCACATCACTTGAGGGGATTTAAGAGACTCCTTGTGCAGAACTGGAATTACCGTAATGGAGACGAAAGCTCTTGTTAAGACTTGAAAGGGGTGGGGAGGACGGGGAGGAGCTACAGGGTGAGAGACATTCCACAGAACTGCACTTCTATGTGGATGTTTGCAGTACTAAGTTTGCACAATGAGTCCTCTAAACGTCCCCACCTAAGGTGATTCGCGCCACGAACCCTTGAATGACTACCTTCTTTAACCCTCCAATCAATGAATGATTGTAATTGGACGATGGTAATCCCAGCTTTGCCCGCAGAGTCTTTTAAATGCACCCTGCCATGATTGGCGCAAAAAACCCTAAACGAATGCGTCCTATAGTTTTCTAGTCGATAGACAACAAAAAGTATTTAGAATCACCTAACCTTCATTACAAGATGGCGAACCAATCTCAGCAAAGCTTTTGTAGCAAATTGTTGCCCAAAGATAATAATTATGTTGTACATGTGAAAAGATATATTGAACAACAGTAGCACAGACGAGAAACCATGGCAGAACAAGCCTGCAATAGAACACAAATTCGGAACGCTGCCCAGAAATCCCAGAGAGCAACGTGATCCATTAGGCTGCGCTCATACTTTGCGGCAGCGTCCACAGCGTTTCGAGCGTCCGGCAGCGTCAGCGACTGGGAAAGTATAGATATCGATCTAGCGTCTGCCAGCGTGCACCAGCGTCTGCCAGCGTCTCGAGGGCCTAGGAAGTATAGGTATCGATCTAGCGTCTGCCAGCGTACACCAGCGTCCGTGAGGGGAGAGTATGGCGCGATAAGAGGGTACAGTCTAGTATTATCTCACCTCGCCATACTCGTTTCACCTCGACGCTGATAGACGATAGATCGATACCTATATTTCCCAGGCCCTCGAGACGCTGGTCGACGCTGAGACGGGCGAAACTAGAAGTTGCCGGACGCGCGAAACGCTAGTTGAGCTGCAGCAAGGTGTGAACGCAGCTTCAAGAAGCTCGCTTACCAGTAACACAACCTATGACCGCTGTGACAGATGCTATGCGAATTGCTTCGCGGAATGCTGACACCATGACAGACTCGTACCCAACCGCGAACATGCCAATAATGGTGTGCATGAGACCCAGCTGAAAAGTTCTAATTATTCCTCAAACAATGGGTTGAGCTAGAAAGATGGACACCGCAGCCAACCTGTCCGTAGGATTACTCCCTTCCCCAAGTAGTTTGGGCGTAATCGCGAAGAATGTCCAACCTTCGCGGCGTCACAGAGAAACACTAGAGCGCTGCGGCCATCATAAGTAGCAGTAAGA